TCTTGGAAGCCTTAGACTTTGATCTTCCTCCGGCCATGATTAAGGCGTTTTTGAAGAAAGACTGAAGAAATGTTGAGATTAGGATCAAGGAATGAAATTATGATGTTAATGGTGTATTAGAATGAGCAAATATGAGGGATATATATAGGGAAAGGGAGATTAGGCCGTTTGGATTCAAAAATATAGCTGTTGGGCAATTAATGTGGTGCCCAACGGCTCTGAATTTTTGAAATGCAGGTGCCTTCCCAGCGATGGTAGGAACTACCCATCGATGGGAAGGTCGCCACTGGAAAGCAAGGAAGGACCCAAGGCTGCCTTCCCAGCGATGTTTGCATCTTCCCATCGATGGGAAGGTGGCTTCTGGAAAAGAGAATATGGCCTTCCCAGCGATGTTAATACCATCCCATCGATGTTAATACCATTAATAAAAGGATGAACACACTTAGAATAAAAAGAGAGGATGTTTAGAGCTTTGTTTCTTGAAGAAATATGAAGGATTAGGCTTGTATTTATAGTGGAAGATGTTAATTAGCCGTTGGGAGGTGATTAGGGTTGATTTAATTCAAATTGGCAATTTTGCTACAGTGTTGTAACGGATCCGGTACCCTTCACGGTAAGGGGGTCCGTGTCATCCGGTACCTAGGTACCGTGACACGGTACAGCCTACCGTGTGGGGGTACCGTATAGGCCAAAATAACTTTTCGCCTCTGGCGGTACCGGGTTAGGACGGGGTGGCCTACCGTCTGTGCCTACCGTACGGTACCTGGGTACCGTTACACGGTATTGGGGTACCGTGTAGGCGGTATACACTACCGTTTGGGGTACCGCTAGGGGTACCGTGCCACTGTCCTGCTTTTTCCAAAATTCTCGTAATCCTTCGCGTTTGAGTTTAAAACCTTTTGGATATTTTGAAAATATTTATGGGATGGTTTTAAACATATTTTGTGAGTGCTTTTGAGCTTGTGAATATAGGTATATAAAGTCATATCCTTACATTGGTTTCTACCTATATTCTACGCTAGTTTAGTGTTTCGACTTCATTCTTAAGTACCGAATCTTAATGGATTCTTGTTGTACCTGAAACACTTAAACAAACGTCAAACTCTTATATTGTTTGTTAATATCAAAACATGAGACTTAGCAAACCAAGGCTAACACTCCCTCCATCCTAAAATGATCTTCTCAGTTCCCTTTACAAAGTTTGACTGAAGTTATTTTCAATTCAATTTATTCAATTATTGATGAAAAATTAAAAAATAAATATTATATATTTTTAAAATACATCAAAAGTTCTACAAAATAAGTGGTGACATGACTATATTGGTTTATCAAATTAGTAACGAAAATAAGTAATGAAAGTGATCAAGGTTTGACTATGTAAATACTGACTCGAAAGATCATTTTAGAAAGGAGGAGGTACATTATAAGTATAAATAGCAAGTGCACACTCCACTCTTTGCATTAATCTATGATTAAAGTTCATTTTACTTCTCTAAGGTTACCGCCCGGTAGGTTTTGAGGGGTCTTTAGAGAAGGATTTTGTCAAAAAATAAATTCAACCAAAAGATCAAACTTGTAATTGTGAGTCTAGAAAAAACACGCTCCTCACGTGCAGAAGAGATTTAATTTTTCCCAAGCATTATTGAACGTGAATATTTAATTTATTTAAAGATGGATGACGGTGAGGTTTGAACATGTGACCCTATTGGTAAACATGTCTCCCATACAATGTCAAGAAACCAATTCAACTAAAAGCTCAAGCTTGTACTTGCAAGTCCATGAAAGATTTTATACTCTAACTAAATGTCAATTCAAACAAAATCTCAACTAATTCAACCAAAAGCGTGACAAATTTTGCTCGAGCCTTGCACGTGATGATTAATTTTTTTAAAATTGAGTGGCAGCAAGATTTGATTCGAACTACATATTTTTCAAACTTGGGCTTCGATCCTTCTCTATGTCATATTAGAGAACCTTATTTTTTTTATTTTGGTATTTTCGTATACACATTTTTTTATAAATATATTAATAATATTTCATTAAGTAATTATATTTAAACCGTAATAATTTATAAAATAAAAAAAAATAAATCCAATAAAAAAGAACATTAAAT